CCTGCTGTGTTGCGCAGGCTGCTGAAGCTGTTGAACTCTGGGACTAAGGGATTCAGTGAGGACAAATCTCACCTCTGTTTATAACCGTACACTTGTTTGGGGAAATTTTGTTCTGGCTCTCCTGCCTCTCTGAGTGCAATGATGTAAGTCTTGCTCCAGGAAATAATCCAGTTAAATAATCCAGTTTAATATTGTGCATTTCCTTGATCTACATCTACTAGGATGTAGAGTTCTTTGGGAAGAGATGCATGTTTCAGGCTTGCAAAGTGGTTGTGACAGGTAGGGTGTAAATGCTGAGGCCAGACAAAGAGAAAAATGCTGCAACCATGCAGCCACCATTAAAGAGCACAGAGACCTGCAGCAAGCTTCATTTTTTTTTTTTTTAATAATTTTCTAATTTTTCTGTCAAACTCAGTGTCATATGGAAGAGAAGCTCCATGGCTAATTTATCTCTAAGAGAAGATACCTCCTGTTCCCAGAGGACTACATACACGGGAGGAACTTACTTGGGAGGGTGAATGGTGATGTAGGGCAGTAGGAAGCCCAGGAGCTCTCTGGGACATTGTAGAGAACGGCATCAGGTGGCTGAGGATCTGAGTGAAGGAGCAGTCCTGAGTCCCTTATACAGCAAGCATTATTGAAGAGTGGTGTTGTGTTTGTGTGCATGTGTTTATATAAATGTGTGTGTATATATATATATGAATATATTTTTCAGTGTTCATTTCAGTGTTCACAAATAAATTAAAACACGGGAAGTATGAGGAAAGGGTTTCTGTCTTAGGGTGGCCAGCTTATAGTAAGCACTAGGGAAAAAAAAGGCAGTTTTAGTAACAATGAAAAGCAGCAGTAACAGGCAGAAAGAAAATAGAAAAAAGCAACTTGAAATGTCCCAAATACTTCCTTTAGGTGATGCTTTTGCTTCAGAGTGTATACTTGTATATACAAGCTGTCAATTTGCAGCTTTTCATTTTATTTGGATAAATACTTGTAAGATATATGCAAACTTGCAACTGACTGCTATAACACAAAGCGTTTGTGGAAGGTGCATTGTAAAGTGACTGGCCTGCAGCTTTTCAAATCCAGGTTGTGATTTTTTAGATGCTGAGGGAGCTGGAAGATTTGTGAAGGGATGGATGTTGAGTGAAATCGTGTACCTTGTACTATTAGATGCTGTCATTAGGAGATAAGGAGATGCTCATGTTGCAGTTGGGCAGTTGCAAAGGGAGTGTATTGCTTGCAGAGATGCTCTTTTACCTTAAATGATTTTTTTTTATTGTTGTAGGTCTGTATCGTGGAATTTCTCTAGCAGGTAGTGTTAGCAATTTTGTTTGATCTGTAGTAGGACTTCTTTAACTCTCTTCCACAAATGCCGAACATAACTGCTGTCTGCGTCTACCCTGCCCAAGTCAGTGCGTTTACCCTACCCTGTTGGAGAGGGCCAGGCTTGGTAAGAACTTCAGGAATAAAACTGTTCATACCATAACATTTTTTAGTTGTTCTTGATCATTCCTTTGAGATCTGATTCCAGTATTTGGGGCTCATTTAATGAGCCTGAGACCGCTGTCCTATTGCCTGCAATCTGTTGATATCTAGGGCTGCTGGCCAACTCATTCACTCTTTTGACACTCCTGCTTAGTCCTCACATTCCTTGATAACTCTCTTTTGCTTCAGAGAGATGATTTGCCCTCATTTCAGAAGGTAAATGGATTTTCTATGATTTGTCTGGTGCCTGTACTTTGGAAGTGAGATAAAAAATGCTTTGAGAAGAGGATGGTGTAGGAGGTTATGGGGTGGAAGAGGAGAATTTGTGAGAATTTGGTGCCAACTCTTAAGGTTTGCTGAGAACAGTCCTGGTTAAAAGAACCTCGGTGAGGTTTTGCTCTGGGAAATGAAGATGTTTTCATATGATACCAGTGCCTTTGACTGATTTTCTGACTAATCTCTCTACAAAGACACTCAGCTGGGAACGTTTTAGTGAAGTGCCACAATATGCTAGCTAGGGTCATTCTGGTAAAACTTTGTGGTGATAATTCCATCCTGAACCAAAGGGGCAGAAATTGAGGAGGCTAACAGTGATGTGTTTTCATTGTGTTCTACACTGCAGGGTCTGTTTGGTGTTCCAGAACTGAGCTGTCCAGAGGGATTTCAAGAAGCGCAGGACAAAGCATTGCAAGAATCGGAACAGCTAGTCCAGAAGGCCTGTTCAACACCTCCTGGAGCAGAGACAGTGATGATCTTTGATCAGCTTTCAGATGCCTTGTGCAGAGTAGCAGACTTGGTAAGATACTTTTTTCATTATTACTTGAAGCAATTTGTTTTGAATTGACTGAATAAGCTTACAGCATGTTGTTCCATTTTATGGTTTTCTGCACTGCAGTAAATAGTGAAGTGTGAAATTTTCTGTTAAGACAGAAAATTAAATTGTTTGAAAGTTAATTACAAAGGCTTTTACTGAACGTCAGGTAACTACAAATCCTGTCAAACTGTCCATTTAATTTTAAGACGGATGTAAAAATAATATAAAGGCCACAACAAGAAAAAATAACAGTGAAATCAGAATTGTATTTCTGCTGTAATATTAATACATAAGCTTTCCAGCATCACTTATATTCTGGAAAACAGAGGATTGCACTCGAAGTTAAAGGCAGGGTTGCAGTACACATGTTTTTAAGTTATGAAAGTCTATGGGTGAAGGTCCGTAGAGAACTTATAGATTACAAGAAGCAGATGAAACTAAACAGTATTGCCTTCTATTAGCACAAGAAGAAATGCAGGTATTTCCTACATTGCAATTTCTATGGTCCACAGAATGAGAATACTTTGTCTGATATTCTGCATCACCAAATTTAAGTTTAATGGAGCACTTTGTATTGCTCTCTAGAAACTTTGCCCGAAGTTTGCCCAAAGTATATCTTTTATCAAAGCATTGCTCTTCATTTGAAGGAAACAGACCTAACCTTCATATTGAAATCAGTTCCTAATAAATAGATCACTGAATTCTTTTACTTTGGTTTTCACATTGGAATTTCTCTGCATGTTTTGAATTCTCCAGTCTTGTTTCTTACTCTTTTCTAGATTCAAGACATCTTTTGTGCCAGGCACTTTCTCCTTCTGAAAGTACTTACATGCTCTGTCGAGTCACTAATTCTCCTTTTGTCTGTTATATTTTATAGACTATGCCTAATTCCTCTTAATCAATCAATATCTAACTAAAACACTAATACCAGAATTCAGTGGTCAGAGTTTTCTATCCGTTTACTGAGTTAAAATTACCTCTGTACTACTCTTCAGGTTTGCGTGTTCAAAGATGCAGAGCTTGCAGAGCTCTGTCTATAAGCAATTTGGTGATTGTTATCTGTTGGCAGGAATTTTGAGATCTGCCATTCAGCACCTATTCTGTCAATATTCAACAGGATCTTAAACAGGTTTTTCAAGAAGTAAAAATCTTAAGTGTATAAGATTTGTAAGGTTGCCTTTTCAATCAAACTGCAATCATACTGTTAAAGTCAAGCTTGTTTCACGTACTTTCTGTAAAATCATGCTGAATGTCTTCAATGTATTCCTAATCTTTAATTAAATATATTCCTAATCTTCAATTCTCTATTATTTCAATGCCAGAACATCCTTGAATTCATGTCAGCAGTCACGGAAGCCCCTAGCTCTTTAGCCCCTTTTTATCATCCTTCTAGCCTTATGAACTCCTTTAAGTATTTGGAGACTTACGAAAAATTAGTAAGTCAAATAAAAACCCTGTTCTGAATCCAAAAGGACTTCGGGGTTTTCTTTTTAAACATATTTCTTCCTACTAGGTAATGGCGTCAAAGCATAACTTGATGGTCTATACATAAGAGTAAAACTGATTTGAAAACAAACCCTATACACACATTTGGTGCTGTGCTTTCTTCTTAACTGTGAGTTTTAGTTTTACAAATCTTTTGTAATAATATTTAAATACATTGGAGTATATGTTGTAAGTATTGTAAGATACACACTGTACTAAAAATGTTTTTAAGAAGTATATGGATTAAAGATGTTTTTTGAAAGACACATTCACTGTCTGGTTTTATAGCACAGTTTTCCAATAAGCTTTATTTTTTAGAAAAACATGCACATTCTGCAAATAGATTGCACAGAACTCTAGAAATAAATGTTAATGTAAATGGAACTACTTAGGTGCAACTTTGTAATTCAAGATTTTTTTAATTTGTCTTTGCGCCTCGCTGTTTTCTTCTTCTACTACGTCAGGCTGATTTTGTGAAAATTGCCCATCCGGACTTTGCGTTCAGAGAAGCTGCTGAAGAAGCTTGCAGGAACATTGGTACCATGGTAGAGAAGTATGTTTTCTTCTTTTTTTTTCTTCTTTTTTTTTTTTGTTTCTATATGCAACTTTCAAAATCACTGTATGATCATCTACGAAAAGAGCAATCAACAAAAAAATATGTAGGAAGGGTTTGCATGTCAGAATAAAGTGTCAGTCTTGCTGTTACAGATATTTAAGGATTTAGCTTTGTTACGGTGTGTCATGAAAGGTTATTCTATTTAGCTTCAATTTATGTTCTGAACAGTTTTTAAGTTATCAAGTGACTCCATGCCACTGAGCTCAGCTCAAGCTACATTTTTCTTGGACTTGTGACAGTTAACTAGCTGTTGTAAAGCATATGTACAAAATGCTAATTTGTTTTTAAGATTTAAGCTGTTATATTTTACAACACTTTTTCTCCTGGTTTGCTGACCCCTTGAATTCCAGCCAGTGAGTGGGATACGTGAAAGAGGAAAGGACAGTCTCCCGTTAAAATGAATGTTTGAGGATGTGTCTGTCTAGGGCTGTGCTATATGCTTGGTCTACCCTGGCATGCTTGTGCTTTATTTAAAACCTCATTTCATAGAACATGTTCTTAAATACTTCTGGTTCTGAAGTTTGGGTCTTCTTTGGGTCCTTTTCTTTTTTTTTTTTTTTTTTTAAAATGCCTTAAAACCTCAGTCCTGAAGGTTACCTCTGTGGTCCTTGACTATAGTGAATTCATTTGCATCTCTTCTGCTATTGCTGCTGAGAAGGTGGAAAGGGGTGATCTTTAATCATAGAATCCTAGAATGCTTTGGGTTGGAAGGGACCTTAAAGATCATCTAGTTCCAATCCCCCTGCCATGGGCAGGGACACCCTCCACTAGACCCGAAGCCCCATCCACCCTGGCCTTGAACACTTCCAGGGAGGGGGCATCCACAGCTTCTCTGGGCAACCTGCTCCAGTGCCTCGCCACCCTCATTGTGAACAACTTCTTCTTAATACCTAATCTAAATCTACCATCTTTCACTTTAAAGCCATTCGCCCTTGTCCTATCTTTCTCCAGCTTTCCTGTAGGCCCCCATTAGGTACTGGAAGGCTGCTATAAGGTCTCCCTGGAGCATTCTCTTCTCGAGGCTGAGTGAATCTCCAAATACGGTGTCCTTTCAGTGTCTTCTCTTCCTGTGGCATTCAGGAGTAGCCTTGTTAAGTGAAAGCTTTACCAAGCAGTACTGTGAAGGTGACCCAGAGTCTGCTGCTTCCCTCAGGATTCCTAATAACGGTGGAGGCACTGACTGGATGACCTGGTGTCCCACAGTAAGTTGCGGAGGCAGTGAAGACTTTTGTACTCTGAGGAGGACAGCAGTGCATCAGTTTGTTTAGTAAGCCTTGTGAGCAACATGGCTGGCTAAAAAGAGAACTGTAAGATTAAATTCAGCAGAAACTGTTGCTTTGGTCTTGCCAGTGTATTTGGTAAATCTTTCACTTGAAACTGAATTTTTCAAGGCTTAGATCGAGCACACAGTCTATAACAGTATGACTCTAATACCTGAAAAACACTTCAGGTTTAAAATTTGTAGAAAGAAGAAAGTATGCACAAATTAACCTGAGAGGTTCACAAACTATTGTAAATGCTCAAAACTAGCTGTTGTTGAATGTTTGTTTTCAGGGGCAAATGGTATCCCTCAGGAACTACTCACAATATGTATCTGCTTTTAGCCACTTTTTGACAGAGTGTTGGGCTTCTTACTTAGCACCTTCTGTACAGAGCCTTTTCTGAAGTACAGGCATGATGCAATGTCTTCTTCTGTCTCTGAATTGGGTGTTGGTAATTATTAAGTTCATTTTACAAATGGGACTGCAGAGGCTTCCTGCACCTCAACTGATTTAAGAAGTTAGTGCTCAAAATTGCCAGACTGGGGGCTGCTGCCCACCACAGCTATGCTGATGTATACGCATGTGTTTCGTTCCCCACTGTGATTCCCACCTAGTAATTCCGGTCAATGTACATACTTGTAGTTAACATGCCAGCAAACCTGATGGATATAGTATTGTCTAGCACAGGGACAGCAGTGAGCATCTGGAACTGTTCTGGGGATATTAAGCTCTTAGTCTAATTCAGTGGCAGCCAGCAGCATGTTTATCTGATGGCAAACTTGAGCACAGATTTTCCTTTAATGGAGTCCTTTCAAAATAAGGATTAGAAAACAGTTGTCCTACCTTTATGCTCTCGCCATGATTATTTTTGTCCACTGTCAGTCTGAGACTTGCTTGTATTTGCCACAAAATGCCATCCAGAAGTATTTCCTATTGGATGCACAAGACCTGTTTCCATGCCAGTTTGTCCACACATCCTTTGCATACAAATTTTGTGATTTTTCAGCATGGCTGTGAACCAGAAAGCATTTTGAAAATACAGTAATACAGTCCTTGGTTTTTAATGTTGTTTCAGTAAATATTCAGCTCTGCCTTTGAATAAGTAATACCAAGAGATTAGTGTTTGTTGCTAATGCATGATTATTTTACTCTGTATCTTTCCAGATTAAATACAGATGTTGAACTGTGTCAGAGTTTGAGACGTCTGCTAGCTGATGAAGTTGTTATGAGTTCTCTAGATCCAGAAACCAGGTACTTATTAAGCCTATAGGTTTAGATTTTTAGATAGTATATATCATCCCTTATTTTGCTTATATTTTGTGTTCTGTTAAATTAATTAACACAACTGGAAAACATACCACATCTCTGTTAACTAATTTGTTAGTCACTACTAAATTACCTGCACAGGAGTTAGGAAGTTTGTAGTTCTGTAGTCTTGGCAGATGTCTCTGTGACTAGAGCACAAGATATATTTAAAATTAATAACTTAGATGTGCAAAAACAAAAAAAATGAGAACTTAAGATTTTTTTTCAATAACACTATTTTGATTAAAATGATGTGCTGTACTGTGGTGTATATGTCAGTGCTTTTAGCAATAAAAGTAGGAAACAGACTATATAACTTAATTTCAGTTTATAGAAATGTGTATCTTTCAAAATCATCTTATCAGTATATTTATTTAAAGCTTACTTTATGATTGCTGTAAAATGTTTTATTAGCTGCTTATTCAGTTATAGTTTAGGATTATTTCTTCACTAACATGGGTAGACAAGCTTAATGTTTGAGTAAAGTTACTTCCTTTTTCCTTCTTTCCCCACAATCAAGGATGTTAGATTTGAAGATGTCTCTTTCTGATCTGTTAGAATAAATGAAGTGTCAAATTAAAATGGTAGTCTGCACAAATTGGTTAAACATCTAGATTAATGTAGTGGAAATATTTTGAAGGACATTTTCAATGCAGATGACTAAAATAACTAAAAAGGAAAAATCCTATTTCACTGAGTAAACTGTTAAGGATCTAAAACATAGGAAGTCTGTGTCCATAATAGCAATACTAATTTAACTGTGTTGTTATTCTCTATAAAAGACATCTAACCTAAGTAACTACTATGGGCAAAATCTGTTAAGAAATTGTGCTTGCTATCAAATGAGGCTGTTTTAACGGGGATTTACTGTATTTTTAGGCGAGTGGCAGAACTTTTTATGTTTGATTTTGAGATCAGTGGCATTCATTTGGATGAAGAAAAGGTAATTTTTGGCTACAATATGTGAACAGAAATTTGCCTGACTACCAAATGATAATGAAATGTGGGATATGAATTACATGATTCTGGGTCAGTTTGTTCTCCAGGATTCCCAATGTCCTCTGTGGAATTTTGTCTTCTCAGAAGTGGTTAATTTTGTCTATTTTAAATCACTTCGAAAGTATGGGTTTTAATGTTGTTTTAGATATTAGTTGGCTGTTCTTCCCAGTTTGGCCCTCATCATTCCTGTATCTGTTCTGAAGAGTTATAAGCAAGACCTGTCATCCTGCTTCCTTTGATTAATGTCTGCATCAGATATTTAAAATAAGTGCTTAGCTGTCTGAACAAGTTATTTACAGAGCGGGAAAAGCAGCACCCCCTGCACTGTGACAGTGGCTTAATCAAGTAGAGTATTTTAGAAGGAATCAGGTATGGGTCCAGGCTCTCCTCCTTTGCTCACATAGCCAGACATTGTAAATTTTGTGCACAGCTGAATGTCTGGGCATGATCTGATTACATCTCTTTGAGCATTTACATGCTTTTGCAGTAGTTTGTTATGGATTTGCTAAAACCATCAGCTTTCATCATGCTTTCTGGTATGGATGCTCTGTTGGATGTCTGTTCATAGCTCACGTCCCTGTATAAAGTTAATACCTTGTTTATTTGAGTCATCCCCTCCAAAAAGATCTATACAGAGGCTCTTTTACCAGATTTATGTGGTAAAATTACTCTGAAGATCATGGTTGTGATGGTGTGTTGTGACCTGCAAAATGCTTCTAGAATATATTTTTACAATTACTTTGTACAAAGAACAACTCTGAAACTTGGACTCTGGGTTTTATTTCCGAATTGACTATTGCTTCTACAGTGCTTCATCCTCTTTCAGTTACAATTTCACTTGCCCCTTATTTTTGCACATTTTCCTCTTCCTCCCCTCCCTGTTCCACTTCTATTGCTTGCTGCTCAATGTTTCTTTTTAATTCTCATTTCAGACTTTAGAAATCCTTCACTATTGTAAACTGAAATTTACTTCTGCTACAAAGAATTTCTGCTTTTTAAAATAAAACTCAAAAGATGTGTTTTAAAGAGTAAGGGTGGAATGGGAGGACAGAGATCTGCAGGTTTTGTCACTGTTTCGACTTTACAAGTATGTGGTATCTGTAGCCTCAGCCTTTTCTTTTGAGCTGTGAACACACAGGCAATAGCATACTCTCAGATTCACTGAAGCAAATCTTACAGTAAGGTTAAATGTGTGATGGTGATAAAAGCTTACATCATAAACTCCTCAGGGAAGGGTTGAAATACCATAAATGCCTGGTGGTCTCTGAAAATAGTGCAATACAAACAGTAACAAGAGAACTGTAATTCTGTATATATTTCAGAATACTAGTAGAATTATCCATCTCAGTGATGCTTCTTTTTTTCTCTCCTTTGTGTTTTACGTAGTAATCATATTAGGCATAGTTTTATAAATGCTTTCCAAGAAGCTAGCAAAGCTTATGTAAATTCTGCCTGTGCATTTTCTTACTGCAGAAACATAGACGTAAAGATTTTGTTGATGTTGTTGGTCTAATCTTAAATGTTGTGTTTTCTGCTTAATTTCTGGAAGATTCCTTTAGGTTTTAGTGACTTTGAGTTCTGTTTGTACTATGTCTGAAAATACTATGTATTTTGTACTTTATTTTTCTTACAGCGTAAAAAGGCAGTCAACCTCAACGTCAGAATATTGGATTTATGTAACGAATTTCTGACGGGAACTCACCTTCCCAACAAGATTGACAAACACATTTTGCCAGAGCATATTCGGCATAATTTTACAGCTGAAGGCAATTACTTACAAGTTGCTGGTCTGCATGCTGATTGTCCTGATGATCTGGTGTGTATTCCCTGAGTTTGCTTTGGCATACTCTAGCAAAAGTGCATATCGGTTATTTTAATTATTATTGAGGCAAATGCATGTAGTTTATGATTATGATCTAATGACTAACAAGGAAGAACTGGTTTAGAACATAATAATGTCAGCATTGGCTGTAGCAGCTATGAAATAATGGAGGTGAAGATCTTGAATGGAATGAGGAAGAAGAGAGGCAGAATACAGACCTTGGATTTCAAGCAAGCAGACTTCAGTTTATTCGGTAAACTGGGAGGTGGGATCCCATGCGATGCAGCTCTGAAGGATAAAGGAGCTCAAGGAAGCTGGCAGTTCTTTAAAGATAGTATCCTCTTAGCACGTGAGGATACTAAGATACTCGGTAGTGGCGCATCCTGGTACTTAGAAAGCCAAGCAGTCATGATCAGGAGCCAGACTTGGCAAGCAAGGAACTCATGACAAAGCTTCATCTCCAGAAGGTAGTGGACAGGAGGTGGAAGCAGGTACAAGGGAGGAATTTAGAAATATTGCCTGTAAATATAGGGATGATGTCAGGAAGGCCAAAGATCAACTGCAGTTGAGACTTGCAAGGGACACCAAAGGCAACAGGAAGAACCTCTGCTGCTGTGTTAGTACTAAAAGGCTGGACAGGGAAAAGGTGGGCTCAGTGCTGAGTAAGGTGGGTGACTTAGTGGCAGCAGACACAGATAAGGCTGAGATCTTGATTGCTTTCTTTGCCTCATTGTTCACCAATGAGTTGTCCCAGCCCACTGCGCTTAGTGAAGGGGTTCAAAGAGAACAACCAGCAGTAGATGAGGATCCAGTTTGGGATTACTTGAGAGAACTCAACCTGTACAAGTCCTTGGGACCAGATGGGCTGCATCCAAGGGTCCAGCGAGACTGGCTGTTGTTCTTGAAAGACTTGCTGTCTTTGGTAGGCTGTGAAGATGAGGGAAGAACCGCAATGGCTGGTGGAAATAATATGTTCCACCCACCTTCAGAAAGGCCAAAAACCGCCAAATTGGGGAACTACAGGTAACTTAGCTTCACTTTGTTCCCTAGGAAGATTAATGGAACAATCCAAATTAGGAGATTACAGTCAGGATTGGCAGACAACCATATAGGTAAAACACCTCATTTCACGATCAGACTCAGAGTAGCGATTGAAGTGTTGTACTCTACTGGAAGGCTGGTAATGAGAGAAGTGTTGCAGCGGTCTGTCCTGGGACCTCTCCTGTTTAACATCTTTATCAATGACCTAGAGGAGGTAACAGAGTGCTTGCCTACCGGATTGCAGTTGATACCAAATTGGGAGGAACAGTCAATACACTGAAGGGCAGGGCTGACATTCAGAGTGGCCTAGAAGCTGAGGGAATGGTCCAGTGGGAACCTTATATAATTCAAGGAAGACAAATGCGAAGTCCTGCACCTGGAAAGGGAGAATTCCTGGCAATACAGGGCTGGGACTGCCTGGCTGGGTCTGATCTGTGGAAAAGGCCCAGAAGGTTAGTGGGCAGCAAGCTGAGCATGAGCCAGCAGCGACCCTGGCGGCAAAGGCGGCCAGCGGTGTCCTGAACTGCATGAACAGGGGCAGAGCCAGAGACTGACGGAAGAGATTATAGCCTTTTACTCATAATTCTTTAGGAGTGACTTCAACGGAGGCCACCAAAATGGCCAGGAGCTGGACTGCTTGCACTGTGAGGAGAGACTGATGGATCTGGGCTTGTTTACCCTGTAGCAGAGGTGGCTTTGGGGGACAGCAGTCTGCCAGTACCTAGAAGGATGTCATGGAGAAGATAGAGCCAGGCTCTTCACAGTGGTGCATGACAGGAGGACAAATGGCCACAGGCACAAGTTGAAGTGAGAAATGCCAGTTGGAGTTTTTCCTGGTGAGGATACCCAAGCAGTGAAACACAGAGGTCACACTGTCTCTCCATCTGTATGGGGTTTCAGGACCTGACAAAACGCTTTGCGCAACTTGGTTTTACCTCATAGCTGACGCTGCTTTGTGCAGGAGGTTGGATTACAGACCTCCTGAGATCCCATCCAACCTGAATTATCCTGAATGATCTTATTTTAGTTATTGCTGATGATGCTTTTCTAAAAAGAATTCATTTAGAGTTTTTTTATAAATTGAAAATTAGACTCTTTGAAATGTGACAGTGGTTCCTTAGTCTTTTAGATATGACTCAAGTGTATTACAACACTCAAGTGTTCTGTTTTCAGTTACTATATAGTTGAATAATTGAGGTGATTCTGAAATCTTGTTTGTCACAAAAAAGAGAAAAGCTTACCATGGTAGAACCCAAGCTGTAATGTTTATTTTTTGTAAGAAGTGAAAAATTAATTAAATTATGGCAGTGATAGGATGTAAATAAAGGAATAATACTCATTGCATGTAATCTATAAACTCTTTTCCTGAAAATAGCAGGATCTGTAGGATTGCTACTGAAGCTATGAGTAATATATCAATTAAAGAATGCAGTTCTCAAGTCAGATCTTTGGAGAGGCTCTCTGGAAATCATATAATTTAGTTTGGAAGGGCCCTCTGGAGCTTGTCAGTTTGAATCTGATCCTGTGCAGAACAGGATCGAGTAGATCATATTTCTGTCATCATGTCATCTCAGTAACATGTCCAGTTGAGTTTTGAACACTTTGCAAGGATGGAGATTCCATTAATGGGCAGCCTGTTTGACCACCCTCACTATTATTTGTATTTCCTGATACCAAATTGCAATTTTTCATCTTCCAGCTTGTGTCCATTACATCTCCTCCTCTTGCTCTGCACCTCCCAAGAAGAGTCTGGCTGCATGTTCTCTAGGCCCTATTGCTAAGTAGATACAGATTAAGATCTCCTTTGAGCTTTTTCTTCTTTAGGCTGGACAAATCCAGCTCTTTCAGTCTCCATTCTGTGTCGTGTACTCCAGCTCCCAAACATCTTGGTGGCCCTATGCTGAACCCACTTCAGTATGTCAATGTCTTTCTTGTCCTGGGGAATCCAAATCCGGACATTGTGCTCCAGTACATGTGGTCTGGACAGCACCAAGTAGAGGGAAGCAATTGCATCCATAGACCGGATGGCTGTACTCTCTAACAGAGCTCAGTATGCTGTTGGCCTTTGCTGGAAAGACACACTGCTGAACTATGTTAAAGGAAGAGGAATTGTTTCACTTGTTTGATTTGCTTTTTTTAAAAATGAAAGCCTGGTGAAATGAAACAGGTATGAAATGACTTGTGAATTATTATAGTTACATTTTTTATAAACTCAGGACCTGCATTCTTGTTGAATGTATGATCTAAGAGGGTAGATTATTTCAAATGAAGACAAGCATAATTGGTTGCTGGATTTCTTAAGCCTGTTCCATATGTACAAAATATTATCTTCAATTGGTTTGTGAAACATAAAAAAGCATTTTACCAAATTTTCTGAGACTTGAGGTGATTTTTTTTTCTGGAGAGTTATAAAAAAACCCCAAACAAACTAGAAATAGGAGAAGGACTGATTGTCTGTGGGCAGATGGGCAGACTAATAGCTTGCTACTTCAAAAGAAATCAGAATAAGGCTTTTCTCTTCCTCTTTTTTTCTCCCCTGACCTTGTCTCTGGTTCTTATCAGATCCTTCCATGAGCCAGCTTAACTGATGTGCAGAGAACAATTTGGCTTTCTTTGGGGTTTATTTTCAGAAGTTTTAGTGAGTTAAGACAGCCCACAGAGTGGTCTGAGAAGCACAGATGTTGGCAGAAGGAAGGAGGCAATGAGCAGAGGGGATTGTCAACACAAGTAGAGAACAGGACCCCTTTTGGCAGTCTTTATCTGTTAAAGATAAGTTGTCTCATCGCATTTCCTCATTCCATCTTTAATGGATAAGAAAGCAGTAATTGTCAGGCAGTCGTAATTGCTATTGTTAAAAGGCTTTAGGCCTTTTCCCCAACAATATCAGTGAAATACTGCTGTAATGCCAGATCTTCAACTGCATCACTTGTTTCCCTTAAAAATTGCACTGTAGTAATGTGACTTTTTTTTTTTTTTATTAGGTGCGAGAAGCTGCTTACAAGATTTTTCTTTATCCAAATGCTGAGCAGTTTAGCCGTTTAGAAGAATTGCTTGCTAGCCGAAACAGTCTGGCACAGCTGGTTGGGTACGACACCTTTGCCCACAGGGCTCTCCAGGGAACAATGGCCAAAAATCCAGGTATAAGGCATGTGTGGAAGGACATAATGAGAAATCAAATGTATTGTGTTAGATATGAGGTCAAAGTTGTTAGTTTCTTTTGTTTGCACATACTTCTTCCAGTGAAGTATTACTGCAGTTACCTTTTACTGTATGCAATACTCGTGCTTTCTATAAGTGGCAATACTCACTGAGTAGTAACCAGTGTTTTTGTTCAGAATCAATGCTCACTCCTTAGATTATGAAGTTGCCATTATCCCAGCATGTAACAAAGTAAATGTGGTACTAAATTCTCTTGAAATGATGACACAGTGGTCAACAGAGTAGTTTGTTGTTCTAAGAAGAACTTTGTTCTAAGGGAACCTGTTTTGTTTGGAATGTTTTCATGTAAACTTAAAATCTTTTAAGGGAAGAAACCACTTTCTTGACTTTTTTCCCCTTATTTTACTTATAGAGACGGTAACACAGTTTCTGGAGAAGCTTTCTGACCAGTTGTCTAAAAGGTATGCCTCTTTCACTAAGTTATTTTTCTAACCATACTCTTTATTTCAAGAATAGAGGGACTTTTGCACTAAGAAGTCAGTCAGTGCTGCTTATTACGTGCTCTGATGAAACAAAAAGCAAGACTTTCTCAGAGTTTTGAGGGGAGCTATTGGCTTAGAATAAATTCTGTGTCTATGATCAGAGAACACCCAGGACTGAATTCAACAAGTGATGTGCCAAGAAATGCAGGCAACAGCAAACAAGAAGACCAAGTTTAAGTGTTGAAGAACACCTCTCCTGGTCTTCTATCCATACACACAACTCCATATATTGTACATCGATAAGCAAGTACCCCTGTTTCTCCTTCTTGCCTCCAAGAGCACAAACCAGTTTCATCTCTGTGTATAAATGGGGTATATTGTAAGAAAGAAAATGCTTTGGAGTTGTACAGCCAGACTAAGAGGGACTTAATTGGAAGGTACCTGAATGACACAAAGCAGAATGGAAAAGTTCTTTTACCATGGTATATGGGACTGCCATTTTATAGAGTACTATCAATCAATGAAGGGCATTTTGTTAGGATGGAGTGTTATTGTATACTGTACTCCACTGCTCAAAAATCTTTCATTAACACTTTCATCATAAAAATATTTTTCAGAACTCAAAAAGATTTTGAAATGATGACAAAGATGAAAATGAAGCTCAACCCCCAGAATTCAGTAAGTTAGATTTTCATGAGGCGTTTCCTGGTTTGTTTCTTTTTTAAAATACAGTATAAGCTAACCTTGTTCTTGTGGTGGGTTGACCCTGGCTGGG